CTCGCGGTGGCTTGTAACTTCGAAGAGGGCACTGGCGTGTTTGGCGGGCGCCCGCGGCGGCTCACGGGGGCTCCCGCGGGCGCTGATCAAGGGCCCGCGAAATTTGGCAGAGAGTAGAGGGGACTGGCAGGCGCCCGCGGTGGCGCGGCGGGCTCCCGCGAGAGCTTGCCATTTGCAGCTTTAAACCAAGGCTTCTCGTAAGCCTTTCCGAGCCGGAGCACTGACGTGGCTTCCACTATGAACACTAAGCCACGAACTTCACAAAAACGGCGACTAAAGAGGTTAGGTCCCGAAGATGACTCCCCGACACGGCGCACGTATTTCAATAGAAAGTTATCAAAATCGCTTCTTTGATCATTCTCAGGAAAAATTCCTGAAATCAGAAAGAAATACACAACTGAATTAAAATTGTACATTATCCTCTAATAATGGACTTAACTAATGCAAGAAAAGGTGCTTGAATATGTAATATTCGGCGCTTATCAGTTGATTAGTATCTAATACTGTTTCCGTCGACTATGTTAACTGGAGGAGTTAAATGTACAGTCTTTTCATTTATATAAAGAACTGTAATGAGATATCTAAATGTTATATTGGATGCATAAATTGGTTGTATACATGCTAAACTATATTTATGTTTATTCTGGGATGTGGTTAATAAATAATTATGCTGTGTTATTAACTACGTAAACTGGAGGATGGTATGCACCGGTATGGGACGGTGTTATACTAGGTACGGATTAGTTCAGACACTAAGCCCTACCTAAATTTGGATTAAGGTATGGATTAATCATAAAGGTTAAGTCCATCACCTACATGTGTCATATCAATTGTGAATTGAATGACCTACTGATGGTTTCAGGATGGATTTGTTATACATATATCAGACCACCACACAGATGGATGGTATTTTGTATTAGGAGGAGTACGGACTTTATATATATATTATATGGTGCCGTGGTATGAGCTTGAGTCTCATGACCATGGTTAGGGCGCGTATATCACCTAGGATGGATAACTGTACATAGGTGTTATTCCCTGGTAGGTCTAGGTACTCATGCCCACCTTAGGGTGCGTATTTGCATGTTGCCTTCTATTCAGGCTGAGACAGACCTACTGAACTAGCGAGCGTCCTATAGTGTATACTATATACATATATGGACTACTCTAGATATTGTTAAGTCTTCCTAGGATATATCTGCATATCGAATTACTGTTTGGATTGTAGTAGATCAGGACTTGTATGTGGGTCTGACCCACTCCTTTATTTTTCAGGTGATCGTCAGTTCCAGGGTTAGAACTTGGACGTGCAGCACAAATACAGACATTCATTCCTTCGACTACGTAGGAATCTTCTCTATGTTAGCTTTAGACTTTATTTCAGTCATTTCAATTTCGGATTGAGAATTTTTAATAAGGGGTCCACTGGATGGATTCCCGAGTTGTATGGATTAGAGATTTTTGGATTATCAGATTTTATTATCTTTAATTTGTGGATTTTTATTTTAGATTCTTCCAGTTCAGTATATTATTTCTTATTTCGATTTGTATTCTGTGTTCGATTTAAAATACTTTAATTGTTTGATATCCCCCGAGTTTAGGCCTGGGCCTGATCAACCCGTGTCTTGGATCCGAGGGGTATCACAGTCACCGCTTAGGTGTTAATCGTCTACAATGGTAGAAACTGGTGCCCTCTGCCTCTCCACTCTTTCTTCTTCTCTCACTTCTACTTCTCGCTCTAAAGAAACCTTTCCCTCTCTCTCTTCCTCACCTCTCACTTCGCTCGCTAATTTCTCTCTTCTTCACCCTTAATCGCTCTCTTCCTTCGTCCATTTCACAATTCCGACAATTTCCTCGACGACGATCCATTTGGATTCTATCCCTGGGATTCTTCCTACGAAGACAGTGAATTTCTTTCTTGATGTTTCTCTTTAGACTATATATTTTTAATTTTTTTTTAGTTTGATTGCTTAGATGACTTTTTGTTCATTTATTCTCGATCCAGCTCACGTCCGACCGAATTTGAGATCTTATTGTATCCTATAGGATTAATTAGGTTTTGATTTATAGTTAGAGAAATCTTTCATTTTATAATCAGATGAAAATGAAAATGGAACTGGATTTGAAAAGGTAGTTTGCGTGCAAAGGACCAAGCTGGGTGAATCAACCCGTAAGGATAGTACTGTAAAAAGGAAAATAATTAAAGGGAAAAAACATCCATTAAGTAAAACGAAGAAAAAGTCTCTTCCTACTGCAACAGAGATAAGGTCATCAAATGAAAGAATTAATGTGGATAACACCGATAATGAAAATAGTTAAAGAAATCTTGAGGTGGGTTTGGTTGGTCTGTTGATGCGAAATTGTGGAGTAGAGATGAAGAAGCCATCGTTTTAGAGAGAGAAAGAGGAGAAAGAGTAAAGTTGGGTGAAGAAAGATATGATGCAAAGTTGATGTGGCAAATTGAATTTAAAAATAATTTTTTATTACATGTGTCTAGAATTAATTAGTGTACTACACCAACTCAGCCAAACTAGATGGTGGACTTGGTTCATGCAATAATTTCTCCTCTAAAACTCATGGAGGAGTTCCTCTCTATGGATAAGCATCAAGAATAAATTAAAATAATTCAAATAGTTCATTTATACATAATCACTTAGAGGAATAATTAAAGGACCTCGAGAAGTTCCTTAGTATGGATAAACCTGGAGGTTGTATGAAAGCCTTGGTGGAGTTTTTATCTACTGTTAGAATATATTATACAATATATGTTAGAACATCTACAATACATTCTAACATCTACAATAAGCCTCGAGGATGGAGTGGTACCTCATAAGCCTGGGAATAAGGCTTCAAAGTAGCACTGTTACAATAGGAACTTTGGAATATTTGTCATGATGCATAAGGTCCTAGGAATCCCAAATGGCTACCATTGTGACCTACAAGCCATGGATGTTCTTGGACTTATCATAAATGAAGGATGAAAGGTGTTTTCTTAGAAGAGAAAAAGTGAACAACGACCTTAGGGTCTTTGTATTTAATGAGTCCTGTCCCTTTACCCTAATGAGTTGGGGAATCTCTTGAAGTTCTAAATGATGTCTCATTTCCTGTTTTTAGTATATCTTAACCATTCATCAATGACCAATAATTATGTCTTGTGCCCTATAATTTTATCAGGCAAAGTAGTACAAAAGAGAGTGAACGAGTCAATTAAAACACGACTACGATAAAATGACACTCAATGACCAAGTAACGTTACATTAGCCATAAGATATATTATGAGAATTTGTTGCTTTCTCGAGCCTCCCTCGAGAACCTTTTGTATCGGCTCAAATTTCATCTAGGTGTATACCTGCTTGTGGTCTCATTGTAGTTAAAGTGTTTCTACATCTACAAAAACCGACACCCATAATATGAAGTTTCTTGATAATGCTCAAAGACTTTTTCCGATATTTATCCTAAATCGACGACGACATGAACCTTAAGCAATGTACTTTATGTCTAAACTCAACCGTGAAACCTTCAAAACTAAACCATTCAATTATAAACCAAGTATCAAATCTTTGGAATAAGATTGTTTTTAATATATCGCTTGCATAAATAATCAATTAACTATTTAAATTTTGGACACGGATCCTCGTCATCTCTCTCCAAACTAAATCCAACAGTTGATATTAAGACACGTGTTCACTTACCTATACTACACCGTTTTGGCACCAAACGGACCAAACAGACGTTTTGTGCTTCTTTTCTCTCTCCTCTTCCTTCTCTTACTTTCTCTCTCTACACCCCAACAACGAACCCCACTGCTGTCTCCCTCTAAAAATCGAGCCTCTCTGTCGTCTTCTCCGCCGCAGGCGGTAGCGACTCCATCTCCCGTGGTGACTGCCCGACCTCCACCTCTCTCTCTACCACAACATTGTAAATAATGTGTATGCATTACAATTTTTGGATTTCAATTTCTAAGAGTAGATAAGTTTGAGTGTTTTGGAGATCAAGTTTTCTGGGTATCTCTTATTTTTAGAAAGTAATTCTTGGTTGCAGTTTTGTAGAGAGATTTGAAGATCAAGTCTAGTGGGTGTCTTGTTTAGTGGAAGTAGTTCTGGGTTTCACTTTACGCAGAGAGTGGTTTGAGGATCAAGCTATATTGGGTTGCTTTCTGGAGAAAAAAGGAGATGACAGCGGGGTTCGTTGGTGGGGTATAGAGAGGACAGTGTTGTGGTAGAGAGAGAGGTGGAGGTCGGGGCAATCACCACGAAGACGGAGTCACTACCCCCTGCGGCAGAGAAGACAACAGAGAGGCTAGGTTTTCCGAGGGAGACGGCAGCGGGGTTCGTTGGTGGGGTATAGAGAGAAAGTAAGAAGAGGAGGAGGATGAGAGAGAAAAGAAGCACAAAACGGCTGTTTTGTCCGTTTGGTGTCAAAACGGTGTAGTATAGGTAAGTGAACACGTGTCTTAATATCAACCGTTGAATTTAGTTTGGAAAGAACTAGAGAGAGATGGGTTATGGAGAGGATCCGTGTCCTTAAATTTTTAATCTTGAATGTAAGTAAAGGGAACTGAAAAAAAATGTCCAAGTGGGTGGGTAACCATTTGAATCTGGTAGCTTACCCTTTTAACCAAAAAAAAAAATAAATAAATAAATAAAAACCATTTGAATCTGGAGACTCAAAACATAGGTCAACCTTTATATTAGTTTAAAATGATTCATACTTTGTTTTTATGAATAATTTTTAAAATTATAAAAAACATACATATAAAAAATATATATATCAAAAACATGGTAAAAAGGAAGAAGTCATTGACTAAAAATTTCTTGTAGTATGGGACACGACATTAAAATTAAAAATTCTTTCCTGATCATTCCATATGATGTGAAAATAATACTCCGTACATTTGTTAATTAACCTTACAAAAATGTAATTTAGCATATAATTGGATGATCCAGACTTAAAGATACCCGAATCCAAATTGGCGGAGCTTCTGAGAATTTACAGAAAGTAAAACGTAGAAACGCGCTATCAACTTGGACCACGACCCGACCTCTCCCCCTTCAAACTCCGAAGTCGTCGTCTTCTTCTTCTTCGCCCCCAACCTATATATTTGCTCAACACTATCAGTCTGTATCATCAATCATATCATTATTTATTATTTTAGAGAGAGAAACAGAAAGGGAAAACTCTCTCTCTCTCTCTTGATTGATCTCTCTCTAGGGTTTGCATCCGCAAACACCACCAACGGTATTGACAAGAACTTCTCTGGCTTCAGGTCTGTACATACATTTTATACGTACATCTCTATAGCTTATAGAAGATCCGAGATTACAATCATTTCCATATTCTCAGAACTCATTCATTTTTTTTTTTGGTTATAATTTTAGTCGTTTCGATTATTACTGCAATTTCAATAGAAAGAATCGAGAGGAGATGGAAAATGGTGGTGGCATTGATGGAGGAGGGAATTTGGCACACAAGCTTGCAGCCTTAGCTGTCAGTGGTAGGAATGACTCTTCCAACTCTAACAGCAGCAACAACAACAACGATGGCTTGTTGCAGGTCATTAAAGCTGTTGAAGCTGCAGAGGCCACCATCAAACAACAGGTCTTACATTTCCTCTTCTCACTTTCTGCGTTCTAATAGCCAATATTTTATTTATTGACTCTTGAATTTGCTTCTCTGTTAAACCAGCTAGTGATTTTGATTATCAATATCATCTAGGCCAACTTTGTTAGTTTTCAGGAGTTTTAATTTGCTGATTTAGGTGCTATTTGATAATTCAATTCAACACTTGATTCTAAACAAATGAATTGATTATCTAATTAGGTGTTATTAATAACACAATATAGATATCACTTGAAAGAACAAGTTCCACAAGAGTAAATTTTCAGTTTTATCAAACACGTTAGGTGTGAAGATGGTTTGGTCATGTATGTGCGCCAGTTAAGAAGAGTGACATGGCCCACATAGAGGGTATTGCTAGTGGAAGGGGAAGACCTAAATTATTGTGGGTAGAGTTAGTAAGGAAGGATATGCTAACATGCGGTTTGACTGAGGCTATGGCCTAGAATATAGCGGAATGGAAAAATAAGATTCATGTAGCCAATCCCAAGTAGTTGGGAAAAGACTTTGTTGAATAACACCTTAGGTACTTTATTTGAACTCTGAGATTTATTGGTTTTTGTTTATTTTCAACTCCAATGGTCAAAGATGTTCTCTACTCAATTGTCTCATTGTAACGTATTGTTATGAAGTTATGTAGCTCTAGTTAGGGTTTATGTCCTTTTGAGTTCCTTTACTTAAGTTGACGGTTGGATTCGGGATAATTTAATCTTAAGACATGAGATATATTGTTTTATTAAGGTTACAGGTCTTTTAGTTAAAGTAATGTCATCCGTGAACCTTTAGTATTAAATGACCTTTTTAAAAAATGTGAAGCTTAAAAACTGACAAGTTTAATGGCAACATTTAAGTAGCCAACCCTTGAGCTGTATTACCTGGACTTGCCACTACAGAGCATGGTGCCTGTGTCTATATGACAGGAGACAAACACGGACATGGGAAATGGGGTGGACATTTTCTTGCACATATCTGGTAAAACTGATAACGGAACAGTCACATGAGATAGTGTAGTTCGATGCTTGTGTAAGTTTGAATTTTTGTCTATGTTTCTTTGATAGATCGATTGCTGTTCCTCACTTGTTCAGAAATCGGGTGTTTTTGAAGGTTGAAGATGAATGTTTTTACACACGCACAAACGTGCTTCTGTTACATGATTTATTTTTATCATTTTCTCTAGTTTAGATGAATGGTGGTCTTGATCCGCTTTGGGCTTTGCGAAAGTTTGCCCTTTTGCATGACTGGATTGACATCTTAAAAGACTGCCATGATGCCACATTTACAGGTTGCAGATGAGGGAATCCAAGAGATGTGGTGTTCTAGGCTTCTGCAGCTGTTCACTTAAGGCCCGTTTGGAAACTGTAACTTATAACAAGCACTTTTTGTCATTTAATTATTATTTTAATATAGAGCTGTTAGAAAAGGTCCGAATCTGGATGATGAAATAATGTTTGGCGATACTGTATGTAAAACATTATTATTTTCTAAATATTGTTTTTCCGTAAGTAGTCTCTTCCTATATAGTTCTTACCTCTACTTGTAAAAATTTCCAAATTTGAGTTTTGGCTAAAAGCTTTACTAAGCCAAAATCTCCACCAATAATTTTTTTTGTTTTTTTTGTGTGTGAGTGGTTACTGAGCACACCTAATAGAGAATTTTTAAATTAAAAGCACTTTTAGTTTGTTCAACAGTAATGCCAAAAGGGCACTTAGTGTTGTACAACTATTTACTTACAATGTATTTAAAATTGTTAAACACGCCTGTAACATTGAGCCATGTGCTGTTCTGTGATAAAATGATAAAATACTCCTTATCGTCTTAAATTACTTTCTATTTAAAAGTTATAATCCTTTTAACATGCGTGTGATATTTTTTATGGTTTTTTTGACTTATAATCATAATTTTTGTGTTTTTGAAGAGAATGTTAAATTGTTTAATACAATATATTAACTTTTGCAAGTAACTGTATGCATTATCCACACACACACACACATATGTATATATGTAGAGACACAGAGAGAGAGAGAGAGAGAGAGAGATAGAGAGAGAGGGTCTTTTATGGTGTTTACTGAGCTAGAAGTAGCAAGTCTAATGTTCTGGGTTTGTAACTTTGTGTCCAAGTACCCATATCTAGTTTTTGGACCCATTTTAGTTGAGCTCCCAAATTTGATGAACGGATGAATCCAACCTCTAGAAATGCACTGGCACCTGACACTTATACCCAAGGCTGGGTAACATAGCCCTTGAGTTGGTTTTAGAGGCATGTTTAGTTCAATTAATCTTATATAGATTCACCGCTTTGCCCTAGAGTACCTGTGAAGATTTGCAACACGGATAATTGTGCAGGAGACAGGTTAGGACACACTATGTGTGCGGTTCGTCTTCGGCAGAGTTAGAAACATAGTCGGAATGATTTGTTGGAGTTCTGTACTCACAATTATATGCCTCTTCCATTTCATGGGTGCTTGACACTTTTGTTTTTGTATGTTAAACCCTAAACATTAAATCTATAACTGTAGAAATGTGACTCATGTTTTGGATAACCGTTGATGTTGAATTTACAGATTTTATAATGTTCTAGATAATTGCAAAAAGTATGCCAAGTAGTAAGATGTTTATTTCTACTTGTGGTGGCTGTATATTTCTATTAGTTTTCTGATTCTATCTTGGATAACTCTTCCCAGGGGGAGGAAAATGAAAGATTGAGAATCGAACTTCAGAAAAAAATTCAGGAACTTGAAAATAATGTAAGTCCTATCATTTGGGATGTGTAAAGATATATTTCTTGTCTTGTTTTGTGTTCCATTGTACTGGGATTGAACCTTTTTGTAAAATATAATTGTATCATTAGTATTGCGGCATGAGCCCTATCTAGTTCTTCCCAATTTTCCCTCTGGATGCTCTGATTAAATTAGTTGTTTATAGTTGAGTGTACATCTGTAACATCTCAGTATATGAGGTCTGTGCTTTAGGAAACTAGTAGCTGATATTTTATCAATATATCCCCTTTTGCATGCATGCATATCAATGTGGCTATAGGATTGCAAGACAAAAGATTAGGAGCAGTATAAGGAAATGTGGATTTTCAGCTTTATATTTTATGATTTCTTATAACAAAGTAGAGACCCTTGCTTATATTTTGTATATAATGTAGACAATTCCTAATTTGGTGAGATTTTGTCTTCAAAATGTGGACGTTCAGCTTTATATTTTATGATTTCTTATAACAAAGTAGAGACCCTTGCTTATATTTTGTATATAATGTAGACAATTCCTAATTTGGTGAGATTTTGTCTTCGAAATGTGGACGTTCAGTGTCATTTTTATGATTTCTGATATCAAAGTAGAGACCCTTGTTTATATTTTGTATATAATGTGGACGATGCCTAATTTGGGGAGATTTTGTCTTCGAAATGTGGACGTTCAGTGTCATTTTTATGATTTCTGATATCAAAATAGAGACCCTTGTTTATATTTTGTATATAATGTGGACGATGCCTAATTTGGGGAGATTTTGTCTTCGAAATGTGGACGTTCAGTGTCATTTTTATGATTTCTGATATCAAAGTAGAGACCCTTGTTTATATTTTGTATATAATGTGGACGATGCCTAATTTGGGGAGATTTTGTCTTCGAAATGTGGACGTTCAGTGTCATTTTTATGATTTCTGATATCAAAGTAGAGACCCTTGTTTATATTTTGTATATAATGTGGACGATGCCTAATTTGGGGAGATTGTGTCTTCCCCATAAAGAGTGGTTTGTCCTGTTTTAGAAGCATAATTTAGCTTATTATAGTTTTAGGTATCTGGTCTCTTGATCTTTCCGATGATCTGGAAGGAGAGGAATCAAACAAGCTTTTAGTTTTTGTCCAGCTATTTAGAGGTTGTATCTACTAGTCTTGTTCCCTTTGTATGGAGCGGTTTGTTTTAGTCTTGAGAGAATAGGGATTGTTTCTTCTTTTCATGAGGTTGGGAATTTTATTATTCACATGTTCTTTTTTTCATAAATGTGGTGATTTCCATTCAACTAGAATAAGCATTCAGTACAATGGATAAGAGTGAGGGCATACCCCCCACTAAAATTAACATCTACACTGAAGAGAAAATGATTCCAATACACATGGAGACAAAGAGAGATGAGAGAATAGATAAGCGTGAGACACTGAGACCAAGGACACAAAACATTTAGAAAAAAGTTGGCACAGGTCATCAAGAGATGGAATAGCTGCCACATCCATTACCTCAAAAAGAACAGCTCTAGCAATCACATCTGCATTTTGTTTGCAACCCTGATGATTCACATGTTCGCGATTAGAATTTTTAAAAAAAAAGTAATTAAGGCAATTATGATAATCCGTGTTTTAATGTTTTATTATAGAGGGATTGAGGAATTGGACAGTGTTAAAGTAGCATGAATGAATTGGAAAGTTACTTTACTGAGTGTTGTATTATTGATGTGTGTAATTCTAGAATTGGAATGCCAAGTTGTAAAGGATGGTTAAGACTGGCAATGCTTTTGTTGTTCAATATGATGGATGGTTAAGAAAGAATTTGTTTATAAATGACCATTGTTGAAATGAGGGTATTGATATAAACCAGTTACAAGATTAAAAAGGCGACAAGTTAGAAATTGTGGAAATTAGTGTTGATCTAAAGGAGAGAAGGGTTTTGGAGAATTGGGTGAGAGCTTTGATCAACTTAATCCCTCTCACCTTGGAAACAATTATATATATATATAGGAATTGTGAGAATAATGAAAAGACTAGTTCACCCTTGTGTGATATACTAAATTGTGAGAACAACGAAAATACAAGTATACCCTTGTGTGCTATACTTATTTCAATATGCCATAATATGTATATTCTAACACTCCCCCTCAAGCCCAAGAGTATATATATCATATAGTCCCAATTTGTAACAAATAGCTTTCAAACGATTATGACTTGGGGGCTAAGTGAACATATCTTTGGATATTCTTTTGGATTTTGTAGGTAGCTTGAAATGTAGTGTCGCCATGGGCTCCTTTTGTTCTTTGGGAGCGCTCCCCTTTTGAGCGCCTTTCATGAATTTTACTTTAAAAAAAAGTGAACATATCGACAAGTTAATCTTTAGATTTCACAAATGGTTAGAGTAGGTTTTATTTATTTATTTATTATTATTATTATATATTTTTTTGCGATTAGGGTCTCTGAGATATCATGTTTGTGACTGCAAAGTTTAGCGTATCCATTGCAATCCAGGTCTTCACTGCTCTGATATTATGTTAACTTTTGTACAGTAAAGAAGAAAAGAGAAGAAGAGTATGGAGAAAATCCAGATGTGTATATTACTCATGTGTTGCTTAAGAGTACAATAGAATACGTAATAATATAATAAACCCTAAACTAATAAATCCTCAATAATAAAATAAATCCTACTCGTAACAGATTTCAATATGCTTAGTTCTCTCATGAAATATAGGATTAGAGGCAGTGTGGGGAGCTGCTTGATTATCACAAACAACAAGAGAAGGGTTTGAACGGCCAAACAAAGTTCCTTAAGGAAATGTTTTTTCATGATAAATGCAGTATATTTTGATAATGCTCAAAAGGGGAGCGTGCCCATATACAATTGCACAAAGGCCAAAAAACCGCTAAGCTCTCAAACTATCCACAAAATCTACCATATCCTCCATGGATTCACAATTACACCATTTAACCTAAAAAAATAAAGAACTCAAGATAGAATGTTTTAACACCCAAATAAGAGCTTCACCCCCTTCAAAGGATATCCTATTCGTCCACAACTACCACCACTAGCAAAGGGGGTTACTCTCCAAGCATCTTAGGTCTAATATCTCACTATATAATCTCTCCAAGCTTCAAGCATGCTCCTCGTGGACTCTGCAAAACCCAATGGAGCTTTTTTCAACAAAATCCAATACAAGATGGACTTTTTCAGGCTCATTAGGGATGTCTTTATCCATCCATGTTAATCCACTTAAGAGTAGATAGAGGGTGCAGAAGGAGGTATGGAATGAATAGTGACCGAATGGCCCAATCTATCTTTTCTTGTCTATTGATTGATGGTCTGAGTCTTTCCTTTACTTTGGTGGTCTCTGAGGTGGATGCTGGTTTTGGAGGTAATAATAGGTGGTCTATGTGGGAATTACCACTACTTCATTGTGGCAAAGGACCCGGAAAGTTCCATGACGGGAAGTCTTCGACTTCATGACTTTGTAGAAGAGGAATTATGTCCTTGTAGGACAGAACAGGTGGTTTTAACATGGTAGTAACAAAAGTTTCATATCCATGACCTAGGCCTTGAAGAAGCCAAAAAACTTTTGTTTTTGTCTGGTACTGGTTTCCCAATTGTAGATAGATCACAAAGAATGTTAAATTTTTTCCTTTTTTCAACTCAGCCTGTTTGAATCTCATGTTAGTTGGGAATAGTTTTCAAAAGGTAAGAGAACTTGAAAAATATACAAATTGACTCTCCAAAATCCAAACGAGACATGAATTTTGGGACATTCAAAAATGGAAAAAAGGACAGGAATTTTGGAACCGAGGGAGTATATCAAAATACTCGGAACTAATAACGGTTAGGTTTCATCAGTTCCAAGGCATATATCGTTGTCATTGGTCAAAACAAGTTCCTCCTCTATGTAGGTTTTAGCTCAAGCTTTTGTCATTTCTATAGTTTTGATACAACGACACTACTTCTGTTTAAACTTCAGAGATCTTCATGTCATCAGGTGACATTGTTTGATTACAGAATCATCTGGTCGCCAGTCTGATAAAAATAATGTGTCTTCATGCTTTACCTATTGCATATTTAAAAATTTCTGAAAATGAAAGCGACGAGGGCATTGCAGTTCTATTTTTTTCATCATTAGTTAGCTCTGTAGTATGTATTTTTTGGTGCTTAGTCGCAGTAGCATGCATCTTTTGCCAATGGAATAAGTGTACCCTTTTACATAAGGGATCTTTTTCTGTTGCTCGATTTGTTGAGTTTAAACTTTCTGGCAGAAATCAGATGACTCAAAAGCTCGAATACTTCATTCAGTTGATCAATGGGATGATCACGTTCATGGACCTCACAGACCTCGTCAATCAATTCAACAAGATTTAATGCCAAATACTGAGGATTCTGCCACACAAACTCGGGCAGAAGGCCGCTTTGAGAGCAACAAGATTAATGGAATGTTGAAAGAACTTCCTGGTGGTCAGGATAATGTTGGTTTCTCTCAATTATCTTCACCTTCTACAACATCCTTTTCTCCTAGCGGGTATTTAACATCAAATACAAATAACATGCACACGTGATGTCATTATAAATGGATCATTGATAAACAATCTTAGAGATGTAATCATACTTTCCTTTGTTAGGTTTCAAGGAGAATATAATCCACGATTTAATGTCTCTGGACATGGGTTGATGCCAATGGCTGATATAAATAATCCAAGCACCTTTGGGAAGCAGGTAGTATCTGGCTTTTCTGTAATAAGTTGTGCGAACATTATTTTTTGGGATGATTTATATTTGCACCTGATTATTTTTCCTCTTTTGATGGATTTTTTAATTTCATAGGATCTTGTTTTTAAGATTCGGGAACATGAAGAAGAGATTTTGCAGTTGCAGAAACACCTTAGTGAATATTCGATTAAGGTAAGAAAGGCATGTAGAGTTTCACATATTGCTAGGAAGAATTTGTAGCTTTATTCTTCTTTAATTTTATTAATTGACATAATTTATTTGTTGATAGGAAGCACAGACACGCAATGAGAAATATGTTCTGGAAGAACGCATTGCTTATATGCGTATGGTGGGCGTGATTTATCTTGTAGTTCCTTTTTTACACACTCCTCCATCTTCCCTCCCTGAAAATTAATGGATATTATTTGGACTTGATGTTTGCTACTAGGCCTTTGATCAGCAGCAGCAAGACCTTGTTGATGCTGCATCTAAAGCCCTCTCTTACCGACAAGACATTATTGAGGAGAACATACGTCTTTCATATGCATTGCAGGTATTTTTTTTCATATCTGGTGCATTTAGCCCTCATGAAGCATTATTATTTCATGATGACAGCAGTTTCCCTTGCATATTATTTGTTGTGAACTTCTGTCCTAATTTAGATATATATATATATATATATATATATATATATATATATATATATATATATATCTAAATTAGGACAGAAGTTCACAACAAATAATATGCAAGGGAAATATATATATAAATGACAAATGAAGTTCGTGTTATATGTGAGTAGACTAGTGATTTTCCTAAATTCCGTAGGGGCAAAAGTAGGGCTGCAAATGAACCGAGCTGTTCATGAACAGCTTGGGCTCGGCTCGTTAAAAGCTCGGCTCGGGCTCGTTCGTTTAGTAAACTAGCTGAGCTTGAACGATGTCAAGCTCTGCTTGTAAGCTCGTGAACAAGCTCGTTTAGATAAAGATAAAAAAAATTTAATTTATTATATTTAAAAACTTAGCCCATTTATACAAGTTTAGCCCAATTACACACATATAATTTTAATTGGCTCAATTGATAAAGTCCATCACACAAATGAAGTCCACCTAACTAAGTAATCCATTTGCCCAATTTAGCTTTAATCTAAGCCATTGGATTAGTTTTTATACATATTAAAGGTTATAGAAGAAAACCCTAACAGCCGTAAGAAGACAACGTTTCTGCAACTCCGGCAACTCCTGCAACTTCCCGAGCCATTGCACCGGCCACCCTTCAACTGCACTGGCGACTAAGGTTAGCTCTCTCTTATTCCCTCACTGACCTCCGCATCGGCCTCCCTTCGACTCCACCAGTAACCAATGTTACTTTGCTCTCTGTCTCTATTCCCTCACTGATATTATTGGTAGAATCGGAGATCGGTGGTTGGCACTTGAAGATGCGAAGGAGATGATGAAAATCTGATTAATGGTTGAAAATGATGGCAATTTTTGTCTCCCAAAACAGTATGTTTCCACTTGATTCATTTGATATACATACACACACACACACATATATATACATATAGATATATTCAGAGTCACGAGCTCGAGCCGAGCCGAGCTCGAGCTCGGCCTATCCAAGCTCGCCTAAGCCCGAGCACCCCTATAATCTTGGCGAGCCGAGCCCAAGCAACCTAAAGCTCGGCTTGGCTTATTTGCAGCTCTAGACAAAAGTGTGCGCGAGTTTCTTGCCAATGAAAAAATAAATAAATAAAAAATTTAGATAAATTTTTACAGACCTTGAGTCGGATTTTGCTTTGCAATTATACTTCTGTTCCACACTAAAAGTCATATACAGACGCTCAAATTTTGTTGATCATATGATATTAGCTAGTTAGCAAGAAGTGTCACATTGTGTATTTTTGCCCAGAACTAAAATTTTTAGTTTTTCTTGTGTATGTGCTCAAGATGTGGCGTGCCCAGTACATGCTTCAAACAGGACAGCTTCTTCTTGTGCTTTCTCTTTTGTTGTTTTCTAACCTCTTTGGACTGAATAAATTATTGTTGATTTAAGCAAATTGATCATTGCAAGTGCTGATATCATTTGAAGTAACTAATCTTTGAGCGGTTTTGTCAAATTTGTAGAACGTTGGAAGATCATACGCTTAAGGCTTCATATGCATTGTGTGATTCATTCCCCTATCATCCTTTTCTTTTTTTATGATGAATTTGCAGCCACTAGATTAAGATTAGACAAATTTAAGATTTTTTAAAATTATATTTTAGCCACCAAGTTCATTAATTTGAGTAGGATTACTCTCTCTCTCTCTCTCTGTGCCCATGCCTGCTCATGCGGTCAGTGAAATTTAAATGTCAATACAATCTTGTTTCATAGTTTTGTCAAATCCTCATAACCGCAGATAAGTTATTTGGAGGACCTATGCAATGCATATAATGGCACAACTGGTGTAAATTTATCGAAGTTGTTTCTTAGATGCTTCCATTTTTTGAAGTTACCTTTCTATTAAAAAAACTGGATTTTAATGTTCATATTTCGATTCTTTCAGGATCTAGCTTTCATTTTTTGAAGTTACTTTTGTATTAAAAAACTGGATTTTAAGGTTCATATTTCGATTCTTTCAGGATGCACAACAAGAAAGATCAACATTTGTGTCATCTTTACTTCCTCTTCTTGCAGAGTATTCCTTGCAGCCTCCAGTAGCTGATGCTCAATCTATTGTTAGCAATTTCAAGGTATGCATGAGCTGGTTTTCAGTTTTGTGACATGCGCAAGTTAGATACTCTCTTATTCTTCTATAGTTCTTGGCTTTAAATGAGAACCTCCATTTAGGTTACTCAATATTTGTAACTTCCAGCCTTCTTGCAGTCATGGCTGGCATATAAAAGATGTGAACCTGAGAGCACATGCATCCAACTCTATATATCTTGGTTGGAAAATGATGGATGTTACTGATGATATCGTTTTGATATTTAAAATCAAGGAAAAATAAGATTTGCTTGCATTATCTCTATATCTCTAGTGAGAAACATATGGGTAGTGAAAATTATCCCTCTCCACTCTCTCCGTTTAGTATTTTAAGGGTTACTAGATTCATCCACTTCTCTTCATTTCCGTTGTGATAACATTTACAATAATATCTTATAGGAAAAGAATGGTGATAAAAGGTTCATAATTTACTCACTTTAGGTTTTCAAATTTCACATAATACAAAAAACAAACTTGTAAGCATAAAAAGTGTGGTAGTTTTGTGAATTGTTTTTCTTTCTTCAAGGGCTCTTCCTCACCCACTCTTTCTTTATCTTCTGTCTCTCTCTTCCTCCCTTCTTTCGGTTTTACTCTCCTCTCGTTTTCTTTTCTTTCTTTCTCTCCATCTGTGTTCCGTCTTCTCCTGGTTACCTGTGCAAAATGCCACCCAATCTCATGCATTATGCTGTGGTCCCTATTTTTCTAAATTATATTTTTACCGAAACAGATCAAAGGAACACAAGTTTCTATCAACTATAATTTGTGTTTCCCTTCGAATGCTCTCCAACGGGCTAGGATTATGGAATAAGGGTTTGGGGATTATAAAATAGTGAAATTAGGAACTGGCTATGATTACTGAACAAAATCACATAATAGAGAGTTACAGAGAAAAATGCGGAGGTTGCTGAGTTCTTAGCATTGCTTTACAGTCAGGTGGTGGATGGGGGTGGGGATGGATGAGATGGTTTGGATGCGCACTGTTGTGGTTTTGTGGAGTCTGATTAGGTAATTGATTTTTTAGGAAGATTTAATTATATGGAAACTTTAAGACTATTGACGTTTAGAGAAAATTCAGTTTCCTGATCTGATTTAACTTCCTTATTGGTTTAGGAAAAATTCAGTTTCTTGATCTAATTTAACTTCCTTGGTTTAAGGAAAATTCAGTTTCCTGATCTGATTTAACTTCCTTATTGGTTTTGGATTCTACAAAAAGCAAGTTCTTGTAGGAGAAGTTTGAAACTCTATAAATATCAACTCTAATAAGATTTTAGAGTGTGTGAGACTTAGAGATAAATTTGTGCCAATACAAGAGAGAACAATTGAGAGAGAATTCTCCATTATAATTCATCATCTTCTTCATAGTGAATTTGTTCGGTGTGCTTCATGGACATAGCTCTAAGATTTGGGTGAACCATGTATATCTTGTGTTCTGGTGTGATTTTTTTTTTTTTTTTTTAAATTCTTCGTGATTGCTTGTTTATTTCTTGAATAGTGTTGTTTATTTTGCGTTTTCGTCACAACAACTGGTATCAAACCCGGTTGATTGTGCAGAGCAACTCCAACAACTGGTATCAGAGCCTTTGGTTGAGAACCTAGGGCACAAAAGGTGCTTAACGAAATTCTGAAAGTCTTTCGATCAGATCTGTTCGTGCGAGTGGGAGTAATGGCATCAGAAGATAAGGCATCCACATCCATGATTGAGAAGTTCGATGGCACAAACTTCGGTTTCTGGAAGATGCAAATAGAAGACCTCTTGTTTTAGAAAAATCTGTATCAACCTTTGTGAGAGAAGCCAGAGGATACAAAGGATGCAGAATGGAAATTACTTAATAGGAAGGCTCTTGGCACCGTCATATTGACGACATCAAAATTAGTCGCCTTCAACATCAAGAACGAGAAGACGATGAAGTCTCTTATGGCAGCCCTTTCTAGTATGTATGAACAGCCTTTTGCTGCGAACAAGGTGCACTTGATTAAGAAGTTGTTCAACATCAAGATGGTCGAAGGTGGTAAGTTCAACAAACATCTAAATGCGTTCAACGAGATAGTTGGGCAATTAGAGTCTGTTGATATCGACTTCAAAGATGAGGTCCGAGCATTGCTATTTCTAGGGCAATTACCCGAGAGTTGGAGTGGCACAGTTACAGCGATCAGTAGCTCTGCAGGGAAGACCAAGTTGAAGTTTGATGAAGTTGTGAGCATGATTCTGACTAAAGAAATCAGAAAGCAAACAACTGGGGTTTCCACTAGTGGTTTGGCATTGAATGTTGAAAGCAGAGGCAAGGGTTTGAACAAGAAGAAGGGCAACGGTATTAGAAAAAGAGGCAGATCCAAGTCAAGGAATGGAAGGACACAGTCTCAAAATTTCAGGAATTTCACAGATCTCAGTGATGTTGAGTGTTGGAATTGTGGAAAGAAGGGACATTACTGTGTTGATTGCAAACTTCCAAAGAAAGGAACCGAAAGAAAAACTGAAGCAAACGTTGTCTCAGAAGAATCAGATGATGCATTGATATGCTCTTTGGAGAGCAAGGCTGAGTCATGGGTTTTAGATTCCGGCGTATCGTTTCATGGCACCTCAAGCAAAGAGCTATTTAATAGCTATGAACCAGGTAACCTTGACAAGGTGTATCTTGGTGATGATCAGCCTTGCAGCGTCATTGGTAAGGGTGAAGTGCAAATCAAGTTGAATGGATCAGCTTGGAAGTTGAAGGATGTGAGACACATCCCTGACTTGAGGAAGAATCTGATTTCGGTGGGACAATTGTCAGAGGAAGGATAACCAAACCTTTAATGGAGACTCGTGGAAAGTTTCCAGAGGCGCTATGACCATTGCATGCAGTAAGAATTCTGGCACTCTCTACACAACTACCAGTGCTTGTGGGTCTATGGCAGTTGCAGAAAAGAGATGATCACAACCTTTGGCACCAGAGACTAGGTCACATGAGTGAAGGGGGGCTTAAGATTATGCACTCAAAGGGGAAATTACCAGGCATACGGGCAATTGATATTGACTTCTGTGAGAGTTCCGTGATGGGCAAGCAGAAGAGGGTCAGTTTCAAGAAGAGTGGCAGAGATCTTATAAAGGAGAAACTTAACCTAGTTCCCATAGATGTTTGGGGGCCAGCCACTGTCTCATCCATAGGTGGAAAATCTTACTTTGTGACTTTCATTGATGATCACACGAGGAAGGTATGGGTTTATTTTTTGAAGGACAAATCTAAGGTATTTGATGTGTTCAAGAAGTGGAAGGCCATGGTAGAGAATGAGACAGGTTTGAAGATCAAGAGGTTGAGGTCAGACAATGGTGGTGAGTATGAAGACACCGGATTCAAGAAGTTCTGTTTTGATAATGGGATCAGATTAGAGAGGACTGTGCAAGGAACCCCACAACAGAATGGGGTGGCAGAACGGATGACCAGAACATTGATAGAGAGAGCCAGAAGAATGCGCATACATTCGGGTCTACCCAAACAGTTTTGGGTAGAAGCAGTCAATACAACATCCTACCTAATTAATCGTGGACCATCCGTGCCTTTGCAACATCGAATACCAGAAGAGGTATGGAGTGGCAAAAAGGTAAATCTTTCATGGTTGAAAGTTTTTGGTTGTATTGCATATGCGCATATTAGTGACCATGCTAGGGGAAAGCTCGACCCCAAGTCACTAAAATGCATCTTCGTTGGGTATGGCGGAGATGGGTTTGGTTATCGACTCTGGGATAATCAAAACAAGAAAATCATCAGAAGTAGAGATGTGATTTTCAACGAAAGGGTGATGTACAAAGATAGAGATGCAGCATAATCAACTAGTCCTGTACAGAGTAATCTTGAGTTTGTTGAGTTGGATGATAATCCAGAGAGCATTGACGCGGAGCAAACAGATGAGGGTTCTTGGCCAGAACTCACAGAGCATGGTTCACCGCGGATTCCAACTCCTAAGCCTACACTCAGAAAGTCTACGCGTCCTCATGTACTGAATCGGCAATTTATGGATTATATGTTGCTCACAGATGGTGGTGAGCCTGAGCCTGAATGCTACGATGAAGCATGTCAGGTTGAAGATGCTAGCAAGTGGGAGCTTGCAATGGAAGATGAGATAAAGTCCCTTATCTCCAACAAAACATGGGAACTAGCCAAGTTGCCCATGGGGAAGAAAGCTCCTCACATCAAATGGGTGTAGAGGGTAAAAGAGGAACACGATGGTTCCAAGAGATACAAGGCGGGATTGATGGTCAAAGGCTTTCAGCAAAAGCAAGACATTGACTACACAAACATTTTTTCCCCGGTTGTAAAACTGAGTACTATTCGCTTAGTTCTTAGCATTGTTTCTGCAGAGGGGTTGCACCTTAAGCAGTTAGATGTCAAAACTGCTTTCCTCCATGGTGACCTACAGAAGGAGATTTACATGCAACAACCGGAGGGTTTCTCAGTCAAAGGGAAAGAGAAACTAGTGTTCGAGTTGAAAAAAAAAGCTTGGATGGTTTGAAGCAAGCCCCGAGGCAGTGGTATAAGAAGTTTGATGGTTTTATGAAGCGACATGGCTACAACAAGTGCAACGCTGACCATTGCTGCTACTTCAAGAGGTTTAAGTCAAGTTCATTATCCTTCTACTTTATGTTAATGACATGTTAGTGGCAGGTCATGATTTTGAAGATATCAGCAAATTGAAGAAGTAGTTGTCTAGTGAATTCGAGATGAAGGATCTTGGTGCAGCAAAGCATATTCTTGGGATCAGGATTAGTAGAGACAAGCAGAAAGGTACTTTGCAGTTGTCTTAGGTTGAGTACGTTGAATGGGTTCTGAAGATGTTCAACATAAATAATGCTAGGGCGGTGAGTACTCCCTTAGCTAATCACTTTCGATTATCTCAAGATCAGTGTCCGAAGATAGAGGATGAGAAAAACTTCATGGCTAAAATTCCATATGCCTCAGCCATTGGAAGTTTGATGTATGCCATGGTGTGCACAAGACCAGACATTGCATAT